CAGCAGGAAAGAAAAGCCCACTAAATAGTTAACATTCTCCCAGGTGGGACCATTCTCCTGATGGCTGAGGACCTAACTGAAATCAGCAAAGGGCTGCTCACAGGTGTCACCTTTGGATCATCCTCCTGTGGAAGAGGTGAAGAAAACTCTACCACAGAGAGCTTTGAGTGTTCCCATGTGCACCCAAACCTGGAACTCTTGGTGGCTGCAGAACCAGAAAGAAAAAGCCCAGCTCAGGGCAGGCTCAAGCAGCTGGATGTTTCTGAATGAAAAGATTTCCCTTCCCCACTAGAGCAGCAGGGAACACATCACCCACCTGCTGCTTGCCGGTTCCCCAGCTGGGGAGGGGTCAGATTTCTGTCCAAAGTACATTGGACGTTCAGGAAGGGTCCGAGGCAAGATCTGGAGAAGGCTGAGCAGGTGCCAGGGAGGGTCTGTGGGAAGCTCTCCTTGCCGGAGGGAGCTGAAGATGGGATGTGACAAGAGAAAAGTGGGTTGGTGCTGGGGCCAGGGGGGTGCCAGGGCAGAGCAGGGAGCCCTTCCAGTGCCAGCAGGTGGAGCTGCCGGCAAAAGAAATGGCCAAACACATCAGGAAGGCTTGCTGGGAGCAAACTGGGACAGCAGGTCCTGCAGGAAACCCCATCATGGTGAGTCCAGTCGTGCCTGGCTGGGCACCTTGAGCGCCGTCAAAGTCTTGGGAATCGATGGTTTCATCTCTGCTCTCCAGCCCGGCCTGTCCAGCAGCCCAAAGGGCTCTGGGGGTGCCTGAAACCCCCTGCCAAGGAACTCCACATCTGCAAAGCTTCACACTGTGGTCACAAACAGAATTTGAGGAGCTGTGACCATTCCCCTGCCCCAGTCAGAAAAATCAGCCTTCCCTGAAGGGTGAATCGAAGCTTCACAAGCACTTTTGTTCACACAAAAGCTGACTCTGATGGCTGAGCTGTGCCTCAGGTGTTGATACAAATATGTGACTTTACCTGCACCACCTTCAGGTCTCCAGCTCATAGGGAGGTGGCCTCTGCTGGGAGGTCAGATGAGCAGGCTGCTCCCTGGATCCTGACATCATTCTGCAGAACTTGCTTCATGGTCAGAGCCCAAGTTTTTGTCCCTTCCCAAAGACATGAATCAAACACTCATTGGGAAGTCATAAAATGGAGCTCTCTGTGAATATGTTGCAGGCCTGACTGGTGGCCTTAGGCTAACATTTCTGCCTCTCCATGAGAAGCTGGTGGAGATGTTCTAGTGGGGCAGTTGTGCACGTCCACTTGCTGTGTAACTGCTTCTGTTTGGAGACTGGCAGGGGAAGAAGAAGCTGGGACTGGGAGATTTTGCCCCCCAGCCACAAATACCAGTTACTTTCACAGTGGGAACTGCAATGTCCATCCAATGACTTCCACCATGTAAAAGTTAGTGTAAAGATAATGAGTTAAATAGGCAAAGCAATTAAGCCTTAATTGCTTAACTGCTACTTGTAATAGGTCACACCTTTGCTATGGTTTGAATTTCTTCTTTTATTCCCCTCTAGGTGCCCAAATCAAGTCAGATGGTGAGTATCCTTCTAACTTAGCTGGAACAGCTGGGGGCAGAATGATTGGTTACAGTCAGTGAGAGTTTCTTACTGACTTCATCAGATACCTGTACATTTAAAAAAATTCTAATTGGGTATCAGTAATGATATTTAGCAACTCCAAGATAAAATACTCTCTGAAAACATTTCAGCTGGATGCATTGCCCTCATCTAAAATTCTCTCTTTTTGAGTAATTCTCTCTAGTTACTTAAAAAAATGGAACCTTTGATTGAACTTCAGCAATTCATCTGACACAGCAGCTGCTCAAGGGATTATTGACTCCTGTCTCTGTAGAAAATAATCCAGAAGGGTCACAAATATGATAATACAGAAAAAAAACCCAAAATAATGATACCCAAGATTCAGAAATGACAATAATTTGTTTTTCAGGTGAATGTTACTGTCCAGTCTGTAGTTGTCCAGTCTCTGAATGGAACACAGACTTTACTTAATGATAGTGATGTCCTCAGGCTCCCTAGGATTTTGGATGAACTGTGCATAAATGTAGTTTTTAGGGTAAGTACAACAGTTCTTTTCCTCCTCACACTAGATGGAAACCACGTGTGCATCAAATATTTTCTCACCAGTTACAAAGATGTGAGAAAGGCCTTGCAAGGTGCCATCTCCAGAGCAAACATCAGGAGGAGCACTGGCTTTGGGATGAAAGAGAGTGTTTTGCAACAAAATAATAATTATATGCAGCATAACATGGAGGCAGGATGAAATCCTTTTCTATTGTTACTGACACAACAGACAAAACATGAGTTTAGAATCTACATTATGCTTGGGAGGAGGTGACTTCAGGTACAGGAGAGCACAGTGCAGCTCAGTTCATCTTTTCATCTGAAATGGATGAACATTGGGCTTATGCTCACAGGAGATTTATCAAGGAGTTGGTTTTTAAGAGGCTCCAACCCTAGATTTGTTTCTGACCACTGCTAATTGGTGGCTTGGTTTGGTAACATCCTTCATATGTAAATCTGCTGATGTGGCTACTTGGTGTCACCTTTTTGTCTGTCAGGTCAGACCACAGCTTTTTTTTTCCCTCTTCTTGAAACTCACTCTCTCTGCAGCCAGGAAACGAGTGACAAACTAGAACAAATAGGCAGTATTTCCAACCCATGTGTCTTAATTTGTAGAATTTAGATCAGAAGGGACAGTGCTGGTCAGTCCCAAGTACCAGGGCTTGTAGAAGCATCTGCTACCTTGGATATAGAGGCAGCTCTTTGTTGGTAGATACTTGTGATTGTTTCCCAAGCCAGGAAGTAAGAAACCAGTACTTACCTAGTTTTAAATTCCTTTTTTTCTAGTTTGGTACTCTTATGTATTTGTACTAATTAATATCTAAAATGTTTCATTTCCAGGTGAGTTATCATATTACATACAGAGACACTGGAGAAATCATAGAAGCAGCTGCTGCTTTTGTCTTGGGGGCAATTAACAAAGAAGCACTTTCAATCCAGCAGAGCTTTGAGATCAGCTTTACCCAGGTAACTGCTGGAGATGTCATGGATGACTTGTTGAAAGACATTTAATTACAAAACTTATTAAACTTGAATCAGAACAGTTGTTGGGAAGCAAGGTAAAGTGTAACTTGCCCTGGCTACACAAATGAGGCAGCGTTTCAGAACTGGGCAATAAAGGTCTCCAGAGTCTGTTTTTTTCACATTTAGAAGAGTCATGTTATGTTGAACTGCCTCCAGTGAAAGCAAAGCCTGCCCCAGGGTTAGATTACTATTGTAATTTTACAGGGCAGCCTTCCTGCTACCATTGTTCCTAAATAATTCTAATCATCATCATCCTAAAATAAGTGAAATATGTGTGTTTTCCAGCCGTTTCAGTACAGGGTAAGAGCTGATCCTGCATGTCTGCATTGCAGGTGGATACAACACCAGTCCCTCTCAGTGGTAATCCTGGCTATGTTGTTGGACTGCCCATAAGAGCAGGCTTCAGGCCCCAAGGATATCCTTTCCCTGGTGAAATGCTGTTTGTAGCACTTGTTCTTCTCCATCTCCACAAACACACTCTAGGATGGACACCTACAAAACGCATCTGGCCTTTAACAAAAGCAAAACTGCTTTCTGGGCTGTTTTAAAAGGAGCAAATTACTCAGTCCTGACTGCAATCTCCTGGGACTCTTCAGTGAGGTAGATTTAGACCCTATCTGTTTGCTCCACTGTTGCTCCACAGGGTCAGAGGAATCTTGAGCTGTTAGAGCATTTTCAGATGTATTTCAGGGATACGATTAAGGATTCTTTTTCTTCATGATACACACCAAGTACTGAATTTCCCTTTAACTGTGTCTTACATCTGGCATCATTCAGAACACCAACAAATACAATCAGCTCACCATTCTGCAGAGCACATCCAACCAGGACTGTCTGGCAGCACAGGGGGCCAGAACCCCAATATTATTTGGTTATAACATGATATCAGGCTGCAAGTTACGGTAAGAGGACACGGGGGTGTGTGTGTGTTTAATTTAGTGCTCTTAACCCTCTGAAATCCCTTTCCATTATAATCTTTTCCTGGCATATTTATACAGCTAAAGGAGTATTGGGAATGGAGTATTTAATTATAAAAAAAAAAGTCATTTAATTAAGAATGGTCTTTCTCTTGAAGAAATTGTGTACATTAGCAAGTGTAGCCAGAAGGCTTGAACGATGCACGAGGGCAAGAAATTATTCCTGTGCCAAACCAAGGGATTTTGCTTTATCTTTTTTCTCTTTTCCTGGAAGAATTACTGCAGCTATGAAATGCCAGCCCTTGACTCAGACCCTCCTGGATGTACTGAAGGGGCAAAGCTTTCCTGAATATGTGGCCTCGTTTGGAAATTCTCAAGCCCAGGATGTGCTGGACTGGGTACCAATAACTCACCTCTACACTTCAGAACAGGTGAAAGTTACACCACTGCTACCACCCCCTTCACTCTGACTGTCCTGTGTCACCTGTCCTGATCTGCACCTGTGCTGCAGCAGCAGCTTAGGTTTCTCAGACCTGTGGGGAAAGAAAAAAAAAAAAAAAAAAAAAAAAAGAGCAAAAACAAGCTGAGGGAAAATCCTGCTGGAATATTCACAAATGCAGAGTTTCACACTCTTGCTGTGGAGGACAGGGTTTACGTTTAATCAAGCTGATATCCAGGCACCTCAGTTCTGGATCAGGACAAGGTTTGAAGCACAGAATGAGCTGTAGCCACAGCTGGGAGTCATGCTCTTCAGATGGGATGAAGCACAAGAGGTCAGGTTAAAAGGCTGAAGCAGCAGAATCAGTGCCAGGGCTTGGGGCTCAGGCCAGGCTAGATAGCAAGGATCCTCTAAAGCACAGAAACAGTGACTTGAGTGACCCATAAAGTAAATTTATTCTTAATATCTTCTGTTCTAGCCCTTTTCCTCATGAGGCAGCACAGCCCCTGCTCTTGGTGGCTTTGGCACGTGCCAAATGACACCTACCCCCCGTGACAGCTTCTGCCCAGGTTTCCTGCATGCTTTTGTAACCAATCAGTGAATGATTTCTGCAAACAGAAACCTGACAGTTCAAGAAGGAAGACCTAGAAACATTTAAGATGGTTCATTTCAAAATTCTGCCCTGGCAGACTTAAGGATTCCCTACAGTCCCAGCTGAAATCAGTTGTCCTGCTAAAAAGAGCCAGCTCAGCACTATCACGAAGAGCCCAGGTCCTGCCCTGCTCACGTAGGACAGTCCTGCCTGCAGTAGTGACAGAGCTGGTTTGTCACCTCTAGAGACACTGCAGGGACAGGCCTGTGCCAGGGCTGCAGGTGCTGCCTGCACAGGCAGGGCAGAGTTGCTCTGGAAACCCCCTGCAATGAGCTTACTGGGGACACTCTGCCAGGTTAATCAGATGAATAATTAATGTGTTTGCTTCTGTACCAGTCAGACATTGAGGGAGTTTGTAACACTTTTCAGAGCTCATGCCAAATACCAGTATCCCTTGAAATAGAAGTGAAGTGGACTAAATATGGATCCCTGGTCAATCCCCAAGCCAGGATAGTGAACGTCACAGCAACAATCTCTACCACCCCATTGAAGCAGGTATGTAATTAAATTAGGTATCAGCTGTGCAACAGTGACCCAGTTCATCTCTTTATCTAAGGGTAGCACTTCATACTAGAGTAGATTGCACCCAACAGCTTCTGCTCCAACTCAAACACAACTGCAGGCTGTTTGCCAAAACACACTGCAATAAAAACCTATACAGCTTTCATGAACAGAAACGTGGGACTCTATATGAAAAAAACCCAACAAAACAATAAATACCAGCTGCAAATCTACCCCAGTCCAAACAAAGCAGTTGTATAAAGACTGAAGCTAATGACCATTTCATTTCATTGCAGCTTCCCTCAGGAAGAGAGAGAATTATCCCTGTAACAAGTTCTGTTGTTTTCACTGACATTTCCTCACCTGCAGAGCCAGGCTACAAAGCCTGGCCCACAATTAATGTCAAGTTACCCTTTGATTTTTTCTTTCCTTTTGTCTAAGGTAAGTATGCATTAAAAAAAAAAAGGGCCATATGTCTGATTTTTAGTCTATTTCCTCAAGAAGTGGGGTCCAGGCTGTCACTGGGATGGGCCCACTGGGTTAAAATTAGCCAGGAGAGAGGGTGGGAGCCCTTGGGAGGGTTCTCGGAAGCTTTAGAGCTGAAAAAGCCCTGTGTGAAGTGGGAAGCCAAATTGTTAAAGTAACCATGTGCTATTAGATAAGGTCTCTGCTTTCTGTTTTCATAGATGAATAAGCCACATATTTCTATTTTTCCCAAACCACTAATTCATTACCTTGCTTTTAAAATCCAAGCAGTGAAGTTTTGCTTTCAGAGCAGCTCAGTGACCCTTCCAGCTGACTCGGGCTCAAAGCAGTTGGAGACACCAGCTACAGCCAACACCTTTCAGAATTGCCACTTACTGAATCTTAACTCTTCAACTATAAACCAGTCTCACCACAGGGACCTTCTAGTACCTGAAGAAGTTCATGTTGTGTTCAAACACCAGCTTGGTCCTTTAAAATGTGCTTTCTAATGGCTCTTCTGGAGTCTGACTGTTCCCAGCACTCCACTCACCTACATCTTGTTCTTACATATTCTGATTCTTTTAATGTGGTGATTTTTGAGCTGTAGAAGCAGAAAGAACCTTGTAGCCCAGTGAGCTGAGAACAAACCCATAAAATGGAAGGAGAAGGCAGAGTCAGAGCTCGGACCTGCTGCTGAGAACAAGGCCTCACCTGACGTCAGATGGCACGTGTCTCCCTCTGTTTTGGTGCTGATTTGATTGTCAACTAAAGGAGTGGTGTGTTGGTATTTTTTAAACTAATGTTATATCAATAACAAAGTGGCCCCAGGAGCAACAGAAATGAGGAAACTACCAACAAGGGGAAAAGAATGGTTGGCAAGGAAGAGATGGACTGAGCATGAAGAGTCGGCTCCTTGGAAAATGAAATTCCCTGGATTCTTATCATTTGCACTGCAAGTTTCTACAAGATGCTGCAAACAAAAAAACATGATCACAGGAAACCTCAGTTACTTAAAATAAATGGTACATTTGTGGCTGTGTAGCATGTAAAGATGTGTCTTTATTAAATTACTTTGCAGTTTCAACTGTACAAGGAAGGTCTTATGAAATCACTGCTTACAGGGAGCACCTGTGATTCATTTCCCAGTGAAACTGTTTGCAATCCCAAGATCTAATCAAAGAGTGGCCAAATAGAAAATGTTTATAGACAACACTATACAAGAGAAAGCAAGGAGACAGGAAAACCTTTCAGGTCAAGCTGGTAGGTTTCAACACTGCACTCTCCTGGGCAGACTCCCCCACTTCAGAAAACTGGCCTCCTATTTTTGCTCGCTGACAAGTCCGTGCTGCTTTAATATCTTGTTCAGCCTCTCAATTTCTTGCTCCTGTTGAAGACAAAAGTCTAATCATGAATACAGCTCTTACCTTAAAACAGTTTCCCGGGTTCCCACAGATCTTCCCAGCTGCTGAAATGTGTCTCATGCTGCAGGAAAGCAGGACAAGCTGGCTCCAGTAAGCAGGACAGGGGCAGTCGTGCCTTGGCAGCAGGCAGCTAAGGGAAGCACGGGCAGGACAGGCAGGGCTGTGGTTCTTCAGCCCAGCTGACCCCACAGCTTTCTGGTGAAAAAACCAAGCTGACAACAACCTTGCAAAAAGGATCCCAGTGGGGAACAGCCAGTAGGTAAACCTTGTTTCAGTGAAAAGTGTTTTCTTACCTTCTCTACACAGCTGTGTTGCAGTTGTTCAACCTTTGTGGCCAGCTGCAGGTTTGCCTGCTTCAGCCTGGACACTTGCTGTTCTGAGCGGGTCTTCACTGATAAAATGATTCCTGAGAAACAATCCACAGTGGATTTGTTGTGCAGTGTAAACCAGCCACAAACAGGAGGTTAACACAGTACACAGGGTCTGTACTCAAAGAGTTGAACGTTCCTCTCCAGCTCCACTTCTGGTCTTCAAACCACCCTTCTCAAGTGCTTTTCTTAATGAGGAGGGTTCTAAATGATCCAGCCCAGGGATTCAGATACCAGTGATCTGCTGGGAAGAGGCAGCCTGGCCTTGGAGCTGAATTAATCACTCAGAATGTCACTCAAATCCTGAATTTGAATTTCCTCCCTCAGCAGAGACTGGGGGGTCAGGGGGGCAACTGGCAGCTTTGTGGTCCTGGGGGGCTGCAGTTTTACCTGGTTTCATGCCTGGGCAGCTCTAACAGCCATGCACAGCACAGCCCGGGCACCAGGCTCATGTCCCATGTCCCCTACTGGTATCCCCTGCCCAGGGGCAGATGGCTCTGGCCAGAGGAAGGGGACATGACACATGACTTGGGCCTGAAGGCTTTGGCTTCTCCTTGCCTGGCTGCAGGGAGGACACATAGTTTCCTATGACAGCAGAGGTGTCACTTCTCTACTGAAAAATGGTTATGTTATTACATGTGAACTCAGCCCCCGCAGTAAAGATATTTTCTTCCCACCCTTTTCCAAGAAGGGGAGAAAAGAAAAAGCTCATTAAGAGCATCAAGAACATCATGTTCTTTGCACTCAGCAGAGCCCTCCCCCAGCTGCTGGCAGACCAAGGCAGGCAGGGAGGTGGGCCATCCTGGTAGCACCCCAGGCAGCAGGTCTGGGGCTTCCTTACTCTGCAGACGAAGCAGCAATGCAGCTTATTTGCATGGAGGTCACCAAGCAGCCCCACCTGCCTGGGATCTGGTCCCTGTCCAGCTACAGCCACCAGGGTGCTGAGCCCTGTGCCTCAACACACACAACACCCAGAACCTCTGGGGGCAGGTTTGCTTTGTCCCCTCTCTTGCTCCAAGCAGGTTGGCATGGAAAGGAGCAAGGGGAAAACCAGGATCAACCAAGGGGAAGATATACTTATAGATTTTCTGCTATAAAATGGTGTGCTAAGAGACACGGAGGTCCCCGTGGCTCACGCAGTCACACAACTGAGCTGGTTTCTCTTTGACTTTCACTCCAAACTGAAAGAGCTGTGAGCTACTTTCACACCTTCCCTCTTCCCAGCTGGGATCAGGCACATTCTCCCCACCCAAGGGGCAGTGGGGGGGCTGCAGGTGATGGGCTCAGCCCCAGCCATCCCCCCCGAGGATCCTGGCAGCTTCCCAGGGCACCCACCCAAACTGCGCCTGTGGGCACAGAACTTGGGCTGAGGTTTCATGCAGGAATTGGGGATCATCTCATTGCTGCATGTTTTGAATCCCAAAACCTTTTCCCAGAGCAGGAATAAAAATGTTTCCAGCTGCAGTTGTTTCAGAAGTGTCTGAATTTACATCTAGTTGCAGCAATTTACAATTACAACAGCAGAGTCAGCAGTCTAATCTGGGGACATCTTATGTTCCTCATTTGATGGTAAATGCCTTGAACCCAAGTGAGAAAGATCCAGAGTGAGATCGGGATGTTCCCTGCAGCATCCCTGGAGGGGATGATGAAGTCACAGCAGAACATCAGAGCAGTAAAACCTCCCCTGCTATAGAAGCAGACTCAGGAGGGCTGGGATTTATCCTGACCCCCTGTCAGAGTGTGGCCAGAAGGATCATGGGGGGCAGACTGAAGCCACGAGCTTCAGTTCCCCTCCAGGAGTTCCCCTCCAGGAGAAAGGGATGCAAAAACAGATTATGGGTTGTTTTCAAGGGAACGTGCCATTGTTGCTGTGCTAGAGCTAGGCCCACATCACCAAGGGGTCACAGATTATTGCTGCTCCAAAGAAATTACAGCCTAATCAGGGCCGCACTCCAGCAGTGAAACCACATGGGCAAAACGTGGGTTTGCTGGGAGAGCAAGACCAAGGGATCTCACTGGTGGCTTGGACATGGGAACAAGGATACGAGCCCAGATAACTCAGGTAAGGTGGACAAATCCAGACCACGTACCAGGGCTGGATTCCTGCATCCTGGATTCCTGGATCACCTACCATTGATGATCCTGGCCACCCGCCACAGCCGCAGCAGGATCAGGAGCCCAACAGCCTCAAACTCGTGCTCCCGGAAGATGAGGACAATGTCAAGGATGAAGGACACGATGACAACGATCCCATCCAGCACTTCAAACTTGTGGTGGAAGAACTCCCAGCGGTAGACAAAGATTTTAAACCCCACCTCAACCAGGAAGATGGTTAAAATGGAAAGGGAGAGGTAGTGGAAAACCTAGGGAAAAAGACAGTGCAAGTTTAGGGCCAGGAAACCCTCCTGTGGGAGTGAGACAGGCTGGAAAACCTCCCTTGCTTGAGGGCACATCTGGTTTGGCTTTACAAGAAGGGCTGGGGACATTTCTTCTGCTCTAAGGGACAACGAAAACAAGCACAGCTGGGCAGGCAGTGGCTTTGGGCAAGCCAGAGCAGATGAAGACAACCAGGAGAAGAATGGCAAGAGTAATTCAGCTCTGTGAGACCTTCATCCTTGTGCCTGCAACTGCTGGCTCTGCAAGGCTGAGGGTCCAGATCCTGCCTGCCCAGTCATCCTATCTAGTGGGCTTTGAGCACCAAAGAGAGAGAAATCATGGCTCACACTGACATTTCTCTGCAGTTTACCTTTGGGGTTATATTATATTTGTCTGGGTGGATGATTTTCAAGTCCATAAGCAATTCCCCAAGGACCAACAAGGCATCCAGAATGACCAAGCAGACTACCAGGATCTGTTGGAGAGGAAGAACCAATGTGAACCCTGTCCAGCACAGACAGATCAGCAAGAGGAGCAGACACAGCCTTCAGCTGGACATGCCCCAGTGGCCCCACTCAGCTGCTCCGGTTGCACCGAGCTCTTTGTTGCCCCCACCCAGCACTCCCACAGCCCCTGCTTGGTGGGTTATTTCTGCAAAGTCTCACTGGTAAAAAAACCCCTTGGCTCCCCACCAAACCCAGCCACTTCCCCCTGCTTGATGCAAGGGGCTCTTGGGGAGCTGCAGGCGGGGAGGGCACGTGCCTCCGGCACGCAGCGACGCTTGTCGCCGCTCAGGAAACATCTGCGCTCACCGCCCCGTTTCCCACAGGACCAGCAGCACCACGAGTGTCCACAAGCTCAGTGCAGCTCCCAGCTCCCCCTGTGAGCTCTGCTGTCACAGGTGCTTTTGGCCAAGTCTCACCCTTTTCTCCCTTTGCCCTCAGTTTGTTCACCTGGAACCTGTGGGAGCTGAAGAGCTTTTTCATCATGTCCTGGAAGGAGACACGGCTCCTGGCGGGCTCCAGCTTGATCTCTGAGTCTGGCTGCTTCTCCCCATTCTCCCCAGCATCCTCGTCCTCTTCCCATTTCTGATAGTTGTTGCTCCACTGCACGGGGTCGTCGCCCACCACCGTAAAGTGCTTCAGGTACCTGGACATGGCTCTGGATCAAGCCGGCATCACCCTGCCCACGTCTGAGGGACAAGAGCAGAGCGTCACCTCCCCGCTCAGGGCTGACCAAGGATGCCAAATCTCCCTCGTTTCACCCCAACAAGCATGACAAGAGCATGACACTTGGTTCAAACACGGGTGGTGTGGACCAGACCGGCTGACGGGAAGTTGCTTCACGGTGCTGCTGCCTGTTTTGCATCACCTCCCACGCGTGCTGCAGAGCCCCCGCCTCCCTCCCTGCTGCTGTTTGCACCCCGTGGTGCTGCTCTACAACGAGGAACTTCCTTGTGAGGTATTTCCAAACATTTCAAGATAAAGCATCCATTGCAGGAGAAGAAAAACCCACCAGCCCTTATCTTGCATCTCGTGATGCCAGAGGAGGCAGCTGCTGATACCCTGTTGGAAAGAGCCACTGTGTTCCTGTTAGACACCGAGGGATGGAGGTTGCTGGTTAGAAGCTGGAAGCAGGTGATCTCCTCTCCTCCATGTGCTCTCCCAGGCTGCTGTGTCAGGTCTGAGACAAACCCTCTGCTGTGCTCCCAGAGCTGCCTTCATCCCTCCTCACCCTCAGCCACACCACTGAGCTGAAGAACAGCCATAATTCTTCCTCAACATCAGCCCCCATCATTATTTCAGCCTTCACAGGCAAAATAAGCAGGTGATCCCTGCAGTTCAGCCGGGCCAGCGGGCAATCCCGCCCTCCCCTGATCCCCAGATTCGACATCACCCTTGGGCACCCCAAGATTCAGCCTGTCCTTGCGGGCACCTCTTCGGACAACCCGGCCCACAGAGCGCCCCGAAACCGCTGCTGCTGCTCCAGAGCTCCTGCTGCTCCAGCAGGGAACCAGGTCCCCAGCCCGGCGGGGCTCCCGGTCCCTCCCCCCTTGCCCAAAGCCCGGACCCCCGGGGCTGCCCGAGC